AGCTCGTGAAGGATTCAGCATGAATTCTTAGCTTTTGCATTCCTACGGTACTCAGCTAAAATCCGTGCAAGTTTCAAGTGCGTTCTTATTCTCACGAGTCGGCTAATCAGCATAGGTAATGGTATTTTTGCAAACCATTTCTTTTAAATTATTATACATACGTTATGTATGTTATTTGCGAAAAACTGATTACCGCGTCGCTATAATTGTATCCCTCAGATGTACCCCAGATGTATTGTCATATGTGTGTATAAGTCAAATAGACTTTGCAGTAAACCCTCAAATATCCTTCCTATTAAACAGTTGGTAGTAGGTCTGGCCTCCTTCAGATTCTGTACCTTTTAGTTTTCGTCTATTTCTAGAAATGGGCTTCCTCAAGACCGGAGGCCATGGAGTAGATTACCAAACTGATTAAATCTAGGGATTTTTACAAGAAAATACCTGGTACGTAAAAGTACGCCAAGGTTAATGTATAAAAATTAACATCTTAATAAAAAAAGAAGACGTACTGGGTTTGTCAATTAATATTATGTGATAAACATAAAGCAGATTTTAGGATAACGGAAAATTTTGAAAATTTTAAAAAATGGGGCTACTGAGTAAACTTAGCCTTTAAATAAAGAGTTAGTATGTTCGTGCAAACATCCGTGTGAATAAAGCAGTACGTGTAGAACTACGCCTAAAAATAATTTTTTTGTACACGTATAGTGATGTACTACGTGCAATATAAAGTAGGGTTTTTCTTACCGAGCAGCCTAAGGTTCTAGTTGGTAATAGAAGATAATATCCCAAAACCATCTTGTTGTTTGTTGGTTTGTATATCCCCCATGTATACCGATTTGAGCGGAACTCATTTTTATTAAACAGCGTTTTGCGGCCCAAGTCAACACAATGAACAACGTAAATAACCTCAAATGTGTGCTAAATTCCCCAATAAAATTTCGATCTACACATTTAATCAGATGTGCAATCTACTGTACATTTATAATATATCGTATCCGTAATTTTAATAAACTTGCCTATAAAGTACAGAAAAATGTCCGCATCCATTGCAAACGTTGGGTAAAACAATGCAAACCCTTCCCCATGATGTAACAAAATATCTGATTTTTTCTTTGATCGAGTGCATACAGCCCGTAGTTTGTGAACTTTAAGTGCAAGTGTAGCACCCAGTAGGGTTCAAAATATTCAGAAACCCAAAACATACGGGAAATAATTATCATGGTCATGCTTTCCACAAAATACAGTTGAACATATAAAAGCATCAGACGACAATAAGAAAGCACCGTAATATTTCAATATTTTAAACCGAGTTTACATTTTGCAGGCGGTTTAAAAAATTAATTGAAGCCCAAACTCCTGCCATGGCTGACATGTTTCGGCAAAATACTCCTTAATTACTTATATTACAACCAAACTTAGATTGCCTTTTCAAAACCGAAACGTGTTTCATAATTTCGGTTTACATGTCATAAGATAGGGAAGCTCTTGAATTTACTCTTTTCAAAACGAGTGGAGTGGCCTAGGGTGCAATGGTGGGTTCTGGAGAATTTGTTTCAGTACAACTGTCTCTATTCTTGGATCATCATTTAATTCTTCCTCGCTCACCGTATTCTCGTAGCGTAATGAATTCGTATAGATTGATGACGGGAGTGGTTGAAGTGACTAATGTAGGTACATAAGCCGTACAAACGATTATATAAACGAACTGCTGATTTTATGAGTTCTGAAAACCGCAACGAACAATTAAGTTTGTTTGAAAAGGCCGCTTGAGGACTGTATGACTGCCTTTAAAGTACTTACGACAATTCGCTTTTTATAGCTCAGGGCAACTTTCTGAGATTTATTGTATTTTTTTAACAGATGACAATTCCGCATTAAAGGTGGCCGTGTCTGCACTTCGCCCAAAATCTCTGGAGGTGCGCTGGAACAATCCTGATCATCTTCAGTCATCCGCGGTAATTGCAAACCTGGGCGGACACCAAGCAGCAAGTTGTATAGGACGTGGGAAGTCATCTTCCCTAGATTCCTGTACTCTCATTAACCTGAAGGACTTTACGGAATATGCTGTGAGGGTTACAGTGTGTGTGAAAGAGTGGTGGTGGATCCATCCATCGTGCACGACCTCTCCAGTCAACTATAAGAAGACTCTTCCCGCAGGTAATATCACTAAAATACAGAGTTACCTATATTTTTTGTGATCTTTGGAACGATGGCCGTTTTTATTAAAATAGCTTCACCGTTCTGTAAGGTTTGTAGGCAACTAAGTCCAAAAGAATAGAGATAAGCGATATGCATGCTAGGCTTCAATACGAAGAAAAATGCCTTTCCTTACGCATAAATAATAATTTTCAAGTTACTGTGCTTTATAAACCCTCCCCAGGTCCATTGAAACCGTTCATCTCCAAAGATAAACCATCCAATCGACGGAATTTGTTAACGAGTGCTTTAGAGTCAGTCTCCATCGTAGTCCTGGAGGTAGCCCTGGCAACCCGGAAACGGCGAGTCAACTCAGCACAGCCAAACATACTCTTTTGGAAGCAGTCAGTCACGTTTAGTGATTACTCACCCAGAATGTTTTTCCAAATTATGGTCTTTATGCATGCTACTTGGTATTAAAATGGTGTATTACTATGTGGGTATTTAGTTCCTAACTCGGCAAAGGACGTGGTTGTGCTGGCTATTCACCAGAAAGAATTTGTAGTCAAATGGACTATTCCCAACCTGTCGGTTGGTACCTTGGCATCCCCAAGAGCAATCGCTCAGCTGGATGGAGAAGCTGCGACTGTGACTCGACCGAAGGTGGCCCAATGCAGTCCCGAAGGAAGTCCCCAAGGGCAAGCCACGTGCACTCTATCGGGACTTTCGTCCTCAACTATGTACGCCGTTTCCGTTGAACTGTGTTTCATTCCGATGGATGTGACAGATCCTCTTCCTTTACACTCTGACTGGTGCTCCATATCTGATCCGGTATCTAAGCAAACTCTCCCGCAAAGTACGTAACTGCCTTAACTTCTGCGCTTTCCTTCAAGCCAGATTTCTGTAAAAATGTATAACCAAATTTAAAGGTTGGTCGTATTCTCTGCCATTGTGGTCACCTCGTTAATTGCTCGTCTGGTTTTGGCATGTCCTGAATGAGGTTTACAACTAAATGGCTTAGCTCTTTTTCTTCCTTGATGTGGTTTCATGCGATTTTTACAGGCTCATGCCTGAATGGAATTGGGCAGTTCGCTACTAGGCCGCAAACTTTGTCTTTCCTATCTCTCTCTCTCTCTCGCTCTGTGTCTCTTAGTTCCTGAGGCGGCAACAGCCGTCATTGTGCAAGCAGTTCAGGGCAATGCTCTTACAGTCTCCTGGATAAACCCCGACCCCGCGTACGGTACAGTGGTGTCCGCAAAAGCGACCGCGACGCTGCCTACGCAGACTACAGTGGCAGAGAATTGTTCCGTTACTGACGCGTCGCCAGGTCCAGCAACCTGCGTGCTTTCTGGACTGGAGGACTTCACGCAGTACGAAGTGGTGGTGCAAGTCTGC